TTAATCTCTCCGCAACAGGTTCTTCCTGGTTACCAAGCGGGTTGAAACTCTTCTCTCAGTCCTTGTTCACCCTTTTCATTGCGACTGGCAGCAAAATGTCAGTTTCCCAGTAGTCATCACTGGACGATGGTTCGGACAGAACTTTCCAGTGAGCGTACAGAGACATCAACAACAAAAAAAGTATTCGCTGACAAACTGTTGGACGTTACGAAATGTTTTCTTTTTTTCTTCTCTTTTAGCGCCGAAAATTGTTCCAGAACAACGGTAATTAGAACCCAGAAAACCAGACTAAGACGCCTGCCAGCCAAAAAGTTTGCCGCACTACAGATTATCGTACACGCCAATGAAACGCACATCATTCGCTCCCCGTTGAAAAAAGTTCATGGTCCTCGTGGTCCTCATGGTCGAGGCACAGATGAGATCGTGCCCCCGACTAAGATTTTAAGCTTCAGTCTAATCTCATTTTCTTTTATGAGGCTGAAATTTTTGTGTTTACAACTGCTTCTTCAGCCCGCCAATGGAGCCAATGCCGTCTGCGACGTCGGCCGCTTGCTTGTTTCCCTTGAGTTGGTCTAGGGCGCAGGAATGGTTAGCGGGGGCCGGGTTCACAAAGTGGTTTTCCTGGTAAGGCGGAAGGGAACTCACCATCGACAAAATCTTGTCCTGCCTTCATGCCCTGTGCCTGCATCTTCTTCTTTTCGGCTTCCGCCTTGGCCTTGAACATCATGATGCTGTTTTACGCAAACGAGTGGTCAGCTTTTGAGACCGGACGGAGATATTTTGAACCACTCTGTTTGTGTGAAGAAAAAAACTCACCCTACTTGCTCGATGAGGGGGTCGAGCATGCCTTGCTGGTAGGCGAAGGTGCCTCCGAGGAAGACGGCGAGGATGATGGCGAGGGAGATGATGAGGGAGTTGGTGGTTGAGGTCTCCATTATGAGTCAGTTTGGGTTTTTTTGGTGATATGTACCGTAGGACCGTGTATGTGTGGTATGAGTATCAAGGGGGGTGGGAAGACGATGTTGCGCAAAGCCGTTTGTTGAATGATTTACAAGAGAGATATTATGGCATTTCCAATTTCACTGTCCATTACTGCTCATTTATATCTTCAATTTTTCAAGCATATCTCAATCCAAAAAACTTGATCTGATGCATAGCTTCCCTCTCACATGCAGGTTTGCGTGTGTGTAACACCTGCGTTCTGTGCCTCTCTCCCTCTCTCTATCTTGCGCGCGTGGTATTGAACGTGAGCGGGCGAGGAGAGGGATCGGCAATGACGTCTCCCCATCCCCATTTTCATGCCGGCCTGCCTTGCGTGGGGTTGGCTACGCCGCATGGAAGGAGGGGCCAGAACGCGCAGCCGGGAAGATCAGGGTCTCTGAGTTGCAAACTTGCGTCAGAGGGCGGCGACTTTACAGCAGAAAGAGAAAAAGACATCATTATTTGTTTCTTTCGGTGCACTTGGTAATGGAGGACTGAATGATGGAGACTTGATTGTTGGCCTTGAGATGGCTTCTTTTTCTTTTCCCCTTCCCCCTCACCCTCCTATTCTCATGCAGGTGGCCGGCCAGGCGGGTTGAAAGCCGGGGTCGTTACTGGTCAGTGGTTTAACTGTATTCCCAACGGGGGCCGAGACAACGACTTCCCCCGCAACCTCGTTCTACGTGACCTTAGTAGGTAAAGCAGAGAGCTCTTTTCGGCTCCGAGGTCGTGCGGCGGGGTTATGTTCCGCCATTATGACTTCAGTACCGGGGGTGGTCGTCGTACGAGTTGGCTCAGCTCAGAACAATGAGCGGCCAGGGTGGAGGGGAGGATAGGGGAGGGGTGGTTGGTTTTGGTCCCCCGGAGCTGGACTGGATCCCGGGCATGGCGAGGTTGGTTATCGATCTCATTGTGCATGAGATTTGAGGGTTCATGGCATTCGTCACTATATGATGTCCCAAAGTATGGGGGGTGTTGGTTCCCCTCTGGCGGTCTTTGTTCAAGTCTTAGTATGGCTTGTAGCCGTTAATAACTCTTTTCGCCGAGTCCATGAGCTCGGCAGTTGCGAGAATGTGAGGTCCTCATCTCGGAGGGGGTTGGCTAGGCTGGTTAAAGTGGTTGCAGTTGCAGGGGCTGCGTATTATAGGGTGCTAGGTTTGTGTTATATGCCAACTCGATGCTATTACACTACGCCGCCGCCATAGCCATGTTCGGGTATTTGTTCTAATGCACCCCCTTTTGGCTTTTGGAGACTGACATGAAGGTTGAGATTAGCCGTCTGTTGCCGTTGAAGACTGTTTGGACAGGGAGCTGATATGTTTGCGAGTGTTATAGCCTCCCCGTGTTGCGGATTTCTCGACCTCACTTTGATAGAAATGCCATGACATGATGCGCCGCCCCAAGGTATCGTTGTTTTCTCTCACAGTATTCTATGTGAATAGACTTGGACAGGCCCGGTGGTGTCAGCATACTTATCCCACCACGTTCCTTCTGGTCCTCGTTTCTCGGTATTGTGACACTTCTTAGACGAAATAAGAATTGATTCTTTACATCTTCCTGAATTTGGATTCTGCAGAGCCGCTTGCAGATATGATTGGGTTGTACTTAAGGGCTCTCCGGTAGCCCGGCACTCTTGGGAGATTCTTCATTTCACGAGTCTGTGGCTGGATATTCGAGCGGTGAGCAATTTTCTTTCCAAGTGTTGTTAATCTAAAAGTCTTTGATTGGTGGCTGCTAGTCCCATCACACCCGCTGTTCAAGTTGATCGTATCGCATCGTTCAACGTTGAGAGAGAATGAGGAGGTTTGACCAAGGCACCAGCTTGAAGACATGCCAAACCACGGAGGATAAACCCCTTAGCCATCCTTATGACTTAGGCTGGTCTCATTCTGTGACTGTAATCCATCTTTCCATTTGTGATGAGTCGTGTGTTGTTGGATGTTGTAGGTCATATCTTGATGTTATGCTTGTCACACAACGGCAAACCACCTCAAGCTCGGTTTGTTTATTGTAGGAGTTATCGTAAGCTCTTGGAGATGGGGCCAAGTACTTATTTGATTGGGCAGAATGTACAGATCAAGAGTCCGGAAAACCCAATTTGCTCTCACACCTCGCTCATCAAGACCTCACTACCTGGTTGACTTCACAACAGAATCATCCCGCGCAAGGCGTTCTGGTATCGAGGCTCACCACAAGACCGGAAGCCACCAGACGATCTCACCTTCTCACACGGACTCTAGACTCGTGATACTACAAGGCAGTGCTTCAATCACGAACTGGCAGCCTCCTTCTTGGCCGTGACCTCGATCTCAATCTTCATCACGTCCTCCATCAACGCCGCCTGGATCATAGTCGCCGCGGGGCGGACCTCGCCAAAGTACTTTTGAAGCACCGGCCAGGTCTTTTGAAAGTCGTTGCGGTCGGGGAGGATGTAGCGGACGCGCACCACATCCTTCATCTCGGCGCCGGCCTCGGCGAGGGCGGCGGCGATGTTCTCCATCGTCTGCTCCGTCTGCTCGACAATGTTGGGGGATATGACGCCTGTTGCGTAGTTGTAACTGTGCCGTTGCATTTATTAGCATATACGCCCCATTTGTACATGGGCGTTTGTAAAACCATGATCTGAATAGGTTGGCGGGGTGGTGGAGGGAGACACGGACCCCGTGGTTCCAGACACAAAGATGAGATCGCCCGAGACCACCGCACGGGAGTAGCCGATTTGTGCCTCAAAGGCAGAACCTGAGCTGATGTTTCTTCGGGACATGATGGGTTGAAAGAAGGGCTGAAAAAGGGTGGAGGTGAACTGATGCGAGATGATGTGTTTGTCAGGTGTAGTTGTGGAAGGAAAGGAAAGAGGACGTAGTGGATATGATATACGAAGAAAGAGGTTGAGTCACTCGCAATAACGCAGATATTCCCGCATGTTAGTCTCGCGATTTCTACGAGAAAAATGGACTGGGCCAATTAGAATCTTGTGCACAAGCCCGTTTTGGCCGTATTGGGACATGGGCTGGGGATGTAAAGGACCTTTGAACATGGTACTCAGAAAGACCGCCCAGCCTCGAAGCGAAGCGAACAGAATCAAGACTATATGAGACGCAACAGGTTTCGAGGCTCGGCATACACGGTCCTCAAGGCGTCTGAACTGCGCGAAAGGTAATTTGAGTACGATGCTGGTGATATTCATACGCGCGATGAGTCAAGCAGCCACTTTGGGGTTACCTCTTCACGATAGGTCAACGAGCGGGTCTCTTGGAGATAAGGTACACCGTAGGTGAAGCCATTCACCAAGCTAACTTGAGTGTGCAAAAATGACATATGGTGAGAGCGGCCTTGACAACCTCCTGTTCGATATCTACGGAAGTTTGGCGCATTGCAGTGAGCGTGCGAAAGAAAAAGTCCCAAAATCGAATGATGGGATGAGCGGGGAAAGACGACTTAGACTGAAGATTAGACGAGCTGCAGTTCGCCGCACTTTGCATGGTGGGCTACCTAGATTCTGCAGAGCACCTTCCAGGTTGGCTTATTCACATCGCAATCTTCGGTTCTGCCTCAAGGTACCTGCTCAAACCATGATGACCTTGGTGAGGATCTTGACGCCCGATCATGCTCCGGGACGCCATGAAGGAAGGTACCTTCCTACCGATCGTCTTGGAAGGTACGAGTAGGCCATGACCTGCCTCCTTTTCCTCAAACTGGTCATCAAGCATGTTCGCGACTGCCTTCCGACTGGAACCAATTTCCTCCATATGGTTCCTTCTAGAAGAGAGCTGGGAGGCAGGTACATTGAACGGTGGCCGTGTGAGCCATCACGCCTGGTTTCTACAACTGTCCCTGATGTCAGTCTCTTTCACATTGTCAGACCCAACTGCCCTCCACAGCATCTTCCTTTCGATTCTTTCTGCAGCCCCCTTGTCAACCAAACAACCAAAGCAACCGGTCTGCGTGCTATACATCGGGGAGAATCTAGTTCAGCAAACAGCAGAAAATAGAAGAATCTTCGCAGTTCACCTACTGTCATGTCCATCTCGCCATCTTCGGAGTTGTCGTCTCTGCCCTCCTTGACACAAGAATCTACTCTCTACTCCGAATACGGTCTAGACGAGGAGTCACAGACCCAGAGCCGAGCTCAGGCCAAGCCCACGACAAAATCTGCGTCCAAAAAGTCACCATTCCTCAAGTATCCGGCCGACATCCAGCGCCTCACACGCCGCGGGCTTTGCACCTATGGCATCAACACGGGCCCAGTACCGGATGACACAGACTGGGCCAAGCTTACTGTTCCTATGCTCAAGGAGCAGCTCGCCATGCGTGAGATGCCGGACGATGGGAAGAAGAGTGTTCTCGTCGAGAGGCTTGAGAACTTAAGCACGTACAAGCCTGAGGTCGTTGCTACCCGAGACGCTCCTGACGACAAGCCATTCGGCCCCATCTCCAAGAACACCAGCAGCAACGGCGAGAAGCGCTTCTTTGTTGACACAACTGACAAGAGCCACGTTGGTTCTGTCAAGAAAGCGATGAAGGAAGACATGTTTGTGATCAAGCAGTCCAACGATTTCAATGGCGGAGTCAGCATCAGCATCCGTGGGACTGGACCCGATACATACGAGGTCATTATCGGAGCAAAGACCTCGTGTACCTGCTCGAGCATAGTGGGTAACGCCGAAGCATTATCAAACAATTGCTAACCTCAACTAGATGTTCAGACCTCGCAGCAATTGCAAACATATAATCTGTCAGCCGCAATGCTACCTTTCTCTCTCGCATCCGACTACTGACGAAATCGCAGACGTCCTGACGCATGTCTTCCGGGCACCAGCAGAGCTACTCCCGCAGAGAACGCTCTTTTCCGAAGAGATCGAGAGGCTCTTCGAGCGTGCCCCTAAAGTCCGCTTCACAACAGCGGAGGCCAGCCAAGAGCCCTCCATGTCCGACGGTATTACGAAGTCCAAGGAAGACAAGTCCTGCCCCGTCTGCTTCAAGGACATTGGCGAGGCAGAAACGGTGTGCTGCTCTGAGTGTGGCAACCACACACACTCATCTTGCTCCGACGTGTATATGCATCAGCAAACCGGATGGGCCCTCACGTGTGCTGTCTGTCAGGCTGGCTGGTCGAACTCAGTTGTCTAGGAGCAAGATGGCAGCTTCTTAACAAGAAGTCTGGCGGGGCTTTGGTGCGTGAGACATGACTATTGAAGCCGTATGACTGGCTTCGAAAGGGCAGTCGGCAGAAGGCTTGACGGCGCAGCCGGCTCAACAATTATTTGCGTTGGAGGGAGAAGCTAAGTCTCAGGAGTATTGTTGACGGGCCTGAAATATCAATGAAGACGCATATCAGATGTACTTTATCATCACTATCAAACTTGAGTCCACGGAAAGTAAATGAAAATGGCTGGCAGTGTTGATTGCCTCTTCCTCTTGATGTAAATGGATTCACACGAGCGACGCCAAGCTTCAATGACGTTTGCATCTGTTCTCTTTACCTTGCATTCACCACATCGTTGCTAGGCTGTCTCACCTCTCATATACGGTCTTGGTCTCTTTGCTGTTATTGAGGCGGCCAATTGCCCGAGATTCTGGTTGATGCAGTCCTGCTGTGTACTCAGAGAAGGGTCACGTACTGTCTTCGCAGTTTGATCGCGCTGCCACCACATTTTATCACCCTCTGCTTGATCAGCTCCCCTGCGCGCTGAAAGATGATCCGCCTACTCTTCACCCAAATTTACATCGTACTTTTCAAGTAGACTCCTGAAAACCCGTTCTTTCTCATCCCCCTTCGCCATTTTGATGACTGAATTCCTATCATCATCAAAATTGTTTCTTGCTCCTGCTTTCGAAAGCATCTCAGTGATTTCTTCATTCCCGTAAAAAAAGGACTCATGTAGTAGGCTGCTCCCACGCCTAGTCCTGCTCGTTACGCTGGCGCCGTGCTTGATCAGAATTTCAACGATACCCGCGCGACTCTGTCTGATAGCATGAGCGAGTCTCCTTGCCATATGTGGTTTACTTCGGCCCTGGTATGTTCGAGAAGCCATTGGACAACTGCCTCTTGCCCATTCTCGACCGCGCAGCGCAGCGGTGTTAGTCCGGCATAGTCTGAAGTGTTTGCAGCATTGGGACTCTTCTCGCACATCAATTGTATGACATCGAGCATCCCATCCCAAGCAGCTTGATGCAGAGGTATCCTCCCTTGCCGGTCCTTGGCCATGACGTCAGCATCATTATTGACGAGCCATGTTGCTGTCCCCCACTTCCCCGAGATCACTGCCAGGTGTAAAGCCGTTCTTACTTCCCTATCTCGCAATGCTCTGTTCGCAATTTTCCACAGATATTCAACCGCGGCCCGTTTCCCATAGAATGCAGCCCAGTGAAGCGCTGTTTTCCCCCAGGCGTCAAGAATGTTGATATTTGCACCTGTGTCTGTCAATAGTTTGACTGCCTCTACAAATCCTGTCATTGCGGCACAGTGTATCGGTGCGACCCCATCTCTGCCTTGCGCGTCGATGTTCGCGCCCTCCTTTATGAGCCTAGAGATAACCAAATAGAGACTACCCCGGGAGATTTTCCGCCGGCTTGAAACACCATGACCAACCTCTTCGTCTAGCTCTTTCCCAGACCTACAAGCATAGTGCAATGGCGTCCATTCAACCAAGTCTCGCGCGTTGACGTTGGCGTTGACGTTTGCTCGATTTATATCTATCAATTCCATAAGGAGATCGTATTAATGTATTCCGTAATGCAACGGTGTCCAACCAAGAATATATTTTGCGTTAACGTCTTCCCTACGACGTATTGCATTTGTGAAGCGAGCGTAGTCTCCAGTCCAGATTGTTTCGTTCAGGTCTGTGTGGCGGCACTTTTCATGATATCTGTAAGTACTTTTGCTGTATCCGCTATTGTTTCCGCTCACCAATGTAGAGTCCTCAACGAGGTTGCACTGCCAAGGGCGCTTCTGATCCTCGTACAGTTTTAGAATGGCTAATACGGTCGATGCAACTTCGAGTGGTCCATGGAGTGCGGAACGAATCTCGTTCTCGAGATCTCTCTTCAAAAAACACATGGCCCTCATGGAATACAATGCATAATGATGTCGTCCGTTGAACTGTATCTGTTCACCGCTCAAATTCAAGGCCAAGCTGACCTGCCTCAGGAAATCCACGATTCTGACTGTCGCTAGAGTGGATAGTTCATTCTCAACGGAGAATGTCATGGCGACGCGGAATAGCCACAAGTACACCGCTCCCGCCTGCTGCCAATGCTGCTGCCTCTCGTGATATCGGGCATTCTCTGCTGCCAAGTCGACAATGAGAGAAACCCCCGGAAGCTTGTTTTCCACGCTAAGCGCCGGAATAATGCTCAGGTAAACGTCACTGAGATTACCGAGTCCAGTGTCTTCAATATTCTTCGCCAGCTTTAAAAGTTGGTCGTTATGGAGGGCGAAAGACTTCCAGTTTGTATCGGCCTTCGCTTCATGCTTTGGACGTGTTTCCACGGGACCTTCAAGCGGCTGTTTAAGGGTCATTACTGCAGCCCTGAAATAGCTCGAGAAGATGTCCTGCGCATACAACAACTTCAAGGGACCGTGGAACTCGGCGACCAAGACGTCATGGCTGGAGTTGTTACCCTCTATCCCGGGGGAAGTCTTCTGTGTTTTCTCCTCGCCTCTTCTTTCGTATATTGAAGAGAACCAGTAGAATTCAGAGACGTCCATCTTATCATCCTTACGTCGCTCCATATTGACTGTGAATTCGGGCAATTCTTCTACACCAAATTGCCGACGATCGATCTCGGATCCACCAAGTCCAACAACTCTATAATTTTCCTTGCATGTTGCATCAGTCGTAATGCCACGTTCTGGGAGATTTGTCAATCTTGACAATCTTTTAATCCTAGCTGTCTCGCTGGGCATCCACCACGAGAGGTCTCGATGCAAACTCTCCGTGTATGAGCCAAGAACACGCAAACCAGGCCTCGAAGGCGATCCTTTGACGCGAAGCAACTTGTCGTCTTTCTTGTCTCCCACGATGTCCTGATGGTTTATCTCTTCGTTCTTCTCAAGCTCATCAACGGAGAAAAGCCACATCGACAAGGCTGCTTCAAGCTCATCAGCATGAGCATTCCATTTCCCTTCTAACGGGTTCAATCGAAAATAGATGACCTCTCCATGAGCTGCCAGAGAGCAGGTAAAATTACTTAGCTCCGAATACCGGAACAGTGTGTTCATTGTAGTCTCAACGGACCGTGCAAGAGAGACAGCTTCCGCGGACGCAGGCCCCTGCCAGCTTGTCAGCTGGGCTAGGTCCCTCCTGATCATGACAACACGATGTTCGGTTGAGACTGTCGAACTTTCTTGCGGAACGTCTTCCTCGAATTCGTTGACTTGTGCTTGCAAACTTTTGATACTCCATGCCTGGGTTTTGTATTTGGCGCCAGGTATCCAAGGGCTATTCGGGATGTCCGCAAACGTCGTTGCAAACCAATCGAGTTCGTAGCCTGGCCGAGTTTGAAGAGATCTTGGTGGATCTGCGAGACCCCGCCGAACCCAGGCCCTTACAGCAGTCATTAAGAGGATAGCGCCGAGCTGTGCAATAGATACTGACCAGTGTAGCCCACGCAGGCCACAGAACTGGACGATGTATCCACACAGACTGACGACTGTTCCAATGCTAGCTTCCAGCTCCAAAGAGATCCCAGGTTTTTCGTTCACAGGAGCGATATCTGGCATGACTACCTGGTTCAAGTGAGGCCCTGGAGGCTTTCTCTCACCGCGCCTGCGTTCCGATGTTGTTATGAAAGACCGTTTGGTTTTCGCATAGATTGCGAACGAGTCGAATACCTGATCACTGACCGTTTTGGTTTGCTGTAGCCAGACCAACTGCGCCGTCAATTCGTGAGAGGGCCGGAATTCCTCTTCGATAGTGCTGCTCTCTACAACGTGGCCGCAAAGGAGGAGGCCAACAACCAGCAGAAGTGTCCCCACCCAATGGCATGGGAACGCGTACTGAGCGACTGGCTCTCCATCCTTGAGAAAACCTAGTGATGGGTAATGTACGGAACATCCGGCGTATGCAATGAGTCCTAGCTGGAGCACAACGCCCCATACTGCTGCTATGCGTAATTCAGCTCTGCTTGTGATGTTATGAGAGTTGAGAGTGATATTTGGCGAGCTCTTTCGTGGGTTCCGTGTAATAATGATGCGTGACTTCGGCGTGTTTGTTGAGTGTGATGATTTCTCCTTGTCTTGTTCCGTGGAAGCCGACGAATTCAACGACATTGCTTTGCGGAGGAGATTTCCTGGGGACTCGTTCTCTAACATGAGAGTGAGATCGTGCATATTCAATCCGATTGAGGAGCTCACCAGCAAAATATTGATTCTTGACCTTATCAAAAGGCATGACCTCCACTTGAACACCATCGGTCACCCCTTACTCAGGCAGCAAGCAAATGAACTCTGCCACTGGAGCCGACCCCATACATCTTACGACCTCATGACTGTTCCAGAGCTCGCAGACCTCTGTTGACGTAGACGACATTAGCTCTTGTTCAGCAACAGCGAGATTCTCTCTAGCTCTGCCAATAAGTGCTTTGAGGAACCCGGGCCCTCCGACTCTTATTGCGCTAATTACTATGGTAATAATTCCCAGAGGCACCATGGCCAGGACAATATTGTCAGCCCAGCCTAGTGATTGACTCATAAACTGCATAGTGACTCTCTCCCCGAACAGGGTGAGCAATCTTTGTACATGTATTTATGTCAGTATACATCTTTAGAGCTGATGTGAAGGATCTGAGGACGCTGAACTGACGGTGCTAGGTCTGAGAACAGATTATTGACGAAGTCGTCTCCATCATCTGCTGCAACGCTCGCAGCGAGCACAAGGGCGAACAGAAAGGCCCGCATCATTTTGCTGTGATTCTTGCGCATTCATGCGCAATCAGTCGTCGGTTTTGTGTTGTTGATTCATCAACGATATCGAGTGTGTGCCTCTTGGTGCTTGGTAGGCGCTGGAACTTCGATGGATGTATGTATGCTGTCTTAGTGGTTCGGACCAGGATAGCTGAACGAAACACCCATAGGGGGCCTCTTGTTTCCAACCGAAGGAGAGCAGGCTTTAACATGTTGGTGTAAGAATGTCTATCATTTGTAACTGCCTAAAGTATCCACCTCCATGCAATATGCATATGCAGT